TCACCTTATAAGTAGATCTACATTGCACCGACAATTTTACGCATTTACAAATACACATGCATACACTCACACAGGAGTGAGTTTCTTTCATCCCCTCACCGTTATTAATCTCTTATCTCCTCCAGTCACACGCACTTAGGCATTTCCGCCGCTCTTTATTGTGCCATTTTCACCTCAACCCCACCAGAGACCCACCATTTCTAGCCCATTTCTCCCTTCTTTCAAGCCATTCCACCTCCACCTCTATACACCCTCCCCTGGGCTCTGAACTATGACCTCTTTGCATGAGCAGGGAGGAAGCTGGCAGCACTCACTGAAATGTGATTGGCTGACCAAGAGCTGGAGTGGTGTCAACACTGACCTGAGGGGAGAGAAAGAGAGGTGTGTTGTTGTAGAAAGTAGGGAGGAAAGAGAGGATGCAGGCAAAAGAACAGCATGTTTTATGGGACCTCATTTCTGAGGTGCTAAGTACAGCCGTGTCACCAGAAAGAACACACCATAAAACAACTCAACATTTAATACACACACATGTTCTCTCTAGCAGCAACTGCATAGGGCCAGCTCTGACCTATTCACGTGCACTGAGGAATACATGGCTCTATTACAAATACAAATGCAGCTTGAAGCGCCGGGTAGTGTAGAGGAAAATCACTCCCCCACCACCGCAGGGACTCAGGTTCAAACCCTGGCTGCTGTGTTTCTGGCTCGTGGCCCTTTGGTGCGTAATTGGCAAAGTAGCAGATAGGAAGCCACAAAGGATCAAATCGTTGTAACTGCGCTGATAACCACTACTGGTTGGCAGAGGCACACATTTAGGCGTGACCACATGGACCTCCATGTGTTACTGCCTCCCGGTGAAGCTCTTAAGTGGCAGATTGTTGTGCGTTGGAGGTCTTAACCCTCCCCAGGCCGACAGAGAGTTATTAGCAACCCAATCTGCAGTGCAGGGGGACAAAAAAAGAACAAAGATGAAAGAAAAGAAAAAATACAAATGCTGCTATTTTTCCTTTCAAAAAGGCTCTCTCTCAGTGACCACAAAAGAAATGAGTATTTAGGCCTTGTTCTTGTCGAATATTTGTTCAGTTCTTGAGGACAGCACAAGACAAAGCAATAACAATTTGTGATCAACCACAGTGCTACAGATTGTACAGCTCTTATTCTGCATACTTAATTTGTGTCTCGTTCAGTATAGACTAGCGTCCTTCCCTTTTTTCACATTTTAGTAATTTCAGTTAAAGTGCACAGAGCATGAACAAAATTTACATTTGCACTTTTTATGCTCGAGCGCGCTAATGAATGATTCATGATTTACCTACACAACTGCTCAAGGAGACAAAGACATTGAACACTTTACCCTGTACATGCATACAGATGCACACACTAACAGTGCGTATACCCTCAAACACATGCATGCACACTGGTCAATTTGCATGCTCCAAACATCTACATGCTCAGCTTTATGCATGTGGACCCGTATGCCGCCACCAGACAGCCTTATTGATGTATAGGCACGTCAGCCTCCCAGCAGCAAGGCTGGGGCTAGCATCTTCCGAGCTGCTGGCAGGATGAATGGATGGATATACGTCAGTGATAGAGTGAGGTACTGTGATAGTTGAAGGTGCCAGGATGATTGGACGTGGAGGGGGGGGGAGGTGATTCTTTCGAGCCGTTCTTGATTTTCAGCACTTGATTTTCAGAAGCAGTAGTCCATGTCGCCAAAGCGGTAGTTTACCGATCCCATCTGGCTTTCGTGATCGTGCTTGTGCTTCTCAGAAGGAAAAAAGCAGCAGTGAGAAAATGCTTTCAACAAATATGTCTTGGGGGTCATTTAACTATTTTAAGTATAATTTAACTGGTGTGGGGACACCACTGATTTTATGTAATTCCAAACTTACCCTGTATAGTACTGTGTGTTTTATTGGGCCCTTCATATCAGAATTTGTTTTTTAATTTATTTAGTTAAACCTTAGTTCTGATTCTGATTCTCATGAATAATCAGCAGCGGTTGCCAGGTATCCTATTACCTCCCCTCTCCCATGTGTAGACAGCTGCCATTACGCTGAATTAAACCCAAATATGAAATCAAGGTTGCCAGATTGATGCTCATCCATCCTCCAAGGAATACTTACATCATCCTAAGTGCCTCGCTGACCCTCCATGCTCTCATTACTGCGTGTTAGAACAATTAAGTGTGACGTGTGTCAGATTTATAACTCATGCCCCCGTGTGTGTCCGTGTGTGTGCATGTACATGTGTTTGTTTTATTCTGAACAGATGTGAGCATCTGCCATTGCCGATAAGGCCATTAATACATGTCTAGAGGTGTTTGTATGTGGATGTGTCTGGTTTTCGGCAACATCTGTTGTTGTTTGCTGTGAACTCTGTTTGTACATTCGCTTTTGCAGGTTGTCTGACATAGCTGACTTTAAATATACATGTGTATGAGACACAGACAGTCAATGTGGGTGTCTCTTTTCACTTGGGGAATGATTGGATCCTTCCCGCCCTGCTTTGGTTTGTTGGAGTTGCAGATATGAACATTGACACTCACCAACAGAAGCTCCAACGTTTGTATTTGGTGATCCTTACACGCATTGCATCAATCTTCATTCTTGCTGAATAGCTCTCACATATACACACTTTGAAACAGTTTTAAACATGACACACCAACTACTTTTCCCATGCACAGGACACATTTTAAGCTACATGTCGACACTTGTGCATCGCTTTAACAAAAGTAAGGAAGTGCACAGTAATCATGCATAGTATAAAGTAGATGATAAAGAGGAGGCCGACCTCTTTTATTCAACACATCATGGAATGCTGCCAGTCCTGAAGTGGGTGCAGTTGGATGTTGGGTAATAATTATGTTTATGGGCCTTGATTACAAGCACTTTCATTATAATAATAATAATAGCTTCAGAAAAACACCATTGTAAATCATAACATTTCCCATGGGCATCGATCCAGTTCTGTGGTAACCAGCGTGTTGCACTATCCTGTTGTTTCTCTATGTGAGCGTGGACCCACTGTTCCTGTTTATTAGTGTAACTGTAATTGTCATATTTTGCTATTTTACAAGTTAGTTACTGTATCACTGCACATGAACTCAGGTGTCATTTGGCTTCCTTGGAAGTCTTGGCCTTTTTCAAGTCTTATAGAGATGTTTTAATTCCTCTAAAACCTTTTTTCATGTGCTGTTTCAGTTATTTCATCAACCTCTTAACCCTTTCCCAGAGCCTCTCACCGGTGTGCTGCATTTCATTCTCTGACCACCAGAGCGCGCTGTTTGATGGGATTCCCCTTGCCTAGCTCAAGGCTTCCCTAAATCATGAGCCTAAGGATTTGGAAGTCCAGTTGAGTTGCACTCGGTGAAGAAGAGCAGGCCCTCTTGGCCCTAAGTTTGAAGTGGTGTCCGTACTTCTTCCTGCAGCTCCTTCAGTAAAGTGCAGGCTAGAAGAAACTCTCCACAGCAGTAAGTGGGTATTGAGAAGGTCATCGCATGGTGAAGAAAAAATCCCGACATCGCTTTCGATTCGTGGCTGTCAGAAGCAACTGGCCTCCTCCTCGCCATGTCCCGTCTGATGTATGGAGCCAATAAGCGGAGACCTTCAGCTCTAATGAGCAGTAGTCTGCTGCTCTGCTGCTGTGCGTGGGAGCTGGCCGTTTGGCCCCAGTAAACACAGAGCTTTATTGGACAACTCCACAGCTCCTCCGTCATCACAGCTTTCTCGGAGACACGAGGGCTTGTGGAGGGGACCAGGTGGGGAAGGAGGAGTGTGTGAGGTGACCAGGGAATGGTTATGTGTATAATTAATGACCTCATCCTGCTCCTCCTGCTGTCCAAGAGGAGGGGACGATGAGCGGGTAAAAGACAAAGAGCAGGGAAAGCAAGTGAAATCAAGAGAGAGAAAATGACAAGAAGGGGTAAAGGGAGGACAGTGAGGGACAAAGAGAGTGAAGGAGGGAAGCATATGTTAAAGGCTCCACTTGATATATAATGAGTTTTGTCAGTGACCATTACCCCTGCTGTCTACTGGAGGGGCTATTACATAGGATTCACCCCAATAAGTCCTCCCCCTCTTCCCCAACTCCTTCATTTTTCATGTGCCCAATATTCAGCTCTTTCCTGCCTCCTCTGTTCCCATGGCGATGACGGGAGCTGAATGTAAATAAGTTGTAAATACCAAGGGACAGGACCTTGGCTCAGAGAGAAACCTGGGACTGATCATAGCCTGCCTGTCACAGCACAGCTTTTTTTTCTGACTATTGTGAAGGTGAGGAGGAGTAGCAAGGACAAAGGCAAGAGAGGGGCGGGAGGTGACTGGTCTGTCTAGCGGGGGACTCCAGTGGAGGCTGTAGCCCCCAGGGGGTCAGCCCGGCCCCCGTCTGTCAGCCCACTCTGGCTCTGGTTCCTTCTTTGATCCCTTTTAGATATTAGGACTAAATGTTTGCCCGTAAAAAACATGCAGAGTACTAGCTGACCGTCAATACCTTAAACCGATCGCTGCAAAACCATACAGACACAAACTGCACTGCTGTGATTGGACGTTTTACCATCACGATGATGAGAGGGTTGACCTGGAGTAATACCGGGAGGTGGAGACAATCTCCTCAAATTACGCCCGTCTCTCCCTGAACCCCAGGGGCTCTCCTCCTCCCCGTCTGCTCGCTAACAAAGACAATCTGCCTGAGCCATTTGACCAGCGTTCGGCATTGGTTTGCGTGGCAACGGTACACCTGTCAGAGGTGTGGGGCCCATCTGTACAGTAACAAGCAGCTTAGTCCCATGCCTCCAGCAAGAGGTGGAGCTAGCACAGTCTGGCTTGTGTTACTGCACTCCTGGGAGAAGCCATGCATGTGTGGTGGGGTTTATAGAATGAGCAGGTCACGTTGGCTCATTAGAAGAACAAGGAAATGCAAGTACGAGAGTGTGCGTGTGTGTGTGTGTGTGTGTGTGTGTGTGTGTGTGTGTGTGTGTGTG